AACTATATGAATACAATTACAAAACACTTTCCACATAAATAAAGTCAGATCTAAATAACTGAATATCAATTACTCATAGGCAGGCCAAGGTAATATAACAAAAATGACAATTCTACCTAAATTAATTTACTTATTCAGTGCCATACCAAACTACCAAAAAATTATTTTTTTGGAACTAGAAAAAAATAACAACAAAATTCATCTGTAAGAACAAAAAGTCCAGAGTATCAAGGGAATTAATGAAAAGAAATGCAAGGGAAGGTAGCCTATCTGTAGACACTAGCTGTATGAACTTGAACCCTGGGCAAGTCATTTAAGCTCTGTCTCAGTTTCTTCAACTGTAAAATGGGGATGATAATAGCACCTCCTAGTAATAATCTACCTCCGGGCTGCTGTGAAGATCAAATGAGATATTTGTTAAGTGCTCAACACAATGAAGGGCACAAAAAACCGCTTATTCTCTCCACTCCTTCCCCCATTAGACTGTGAGCTTGAGATCAGAAGCTATTTTTTGTCTTTTTTTTTTGTATTCACAGTGCTAGCATATGACAAGTGCTTTATAATGCTTGCTCATTTGACTTCAGCAAGTCAAAAACCTTCACCAGCTATCCCTTCACCAAGTTAAAGATAGTTATATTCTCCCTAAATCTTTTCAAAGCTGAGTTTCTTCTAACAATCCCTATATGCCATGAACACCATGCTCTTCACGATCCTGGCTGCAATCTTTTGGATGTTAATCAGTTTCTTCAATTGAATGAAGTTTCACAAAGTAGGAATTCCTTCAACAGATACAAAAATGTCTAAGACATTTATTAAGTCCTAGGGACTGATCTGTGACTAAGAGGTTAAACCCAAGCTCACAGAGCCAGTGTGTGAAATAATTCATTTGGACCCTACTCTATTCCAATCAGTATCAATCAATTTGATATGATTCCATAGGGGTAGTGATTATAAGTTCTGTATATTAGGCCCCAGAACTGTGAGCTACAGATTGTAACATCACTTGCTTAATCATAGGAAGCTTTGTTTTTCTTTGTCATAGTGACCAAGCCCATTGTGACTCAACTACATGGAAAGTCCTCTGATTTATTTTTGTACTTCTAGACCATTCTCTCTGGTCCAACATAAGTAGGTGACCATCTTATGACCACTTAGGCAGTTCAGTGGAGATATCCACCCAACCTATGACCCTCCTACTAATATGTCATTTTTGGCCCTCAAGAACACTATCAACTAGTAACATTCTGTATTTTAGATATCAAACCCTATAAAAACAAAGTTCCAGAAAAGGGGGGCATCTCAGATCATGAGGAAGATCTGAGGTCCTCTTCATTAGAAGGGACCATGGACCTCAGAGCTGTGTTTCAGTCTCTTTTATCATAGGTTGGACAATTTCAATTCCCACACGAGGAAGTTTCAGAAGTGAAGCTTATATCCAACCAGATTTTCTGACTAGAAATGTAAAATTCTAATTATGCCTCACTGACTCTCAAGTTGATATAAAACAGTAATGACTACCACTCTGGGTTTACCTGTTAAACTATTTCCAAATCCACTTGAACATATGTATTGTCCAGCCCACATTTCTTTATCCTGTCCATAAAAACTGTTATGAAAGACTGAAACTTTGCTAAAATCTAGGATTAGAGTTGTATTTACAGCATTCCTCTGATTTGTCTGGTAACCCTATCCAAAAACAAAGTATAGAGATTAGTCTCATAAAATATGTTCTTGATGTCATGATGGTCCTTTATGATCAGTGTTTTCTTTTTCTTTTCTTTTTTTTTAAAGAAAATGCTCACTAATCATTATTTTTTAAAATGCTCTAGGAAATTCCTGGGAGTTAAAGTTGAGTCCACTAACTTACATTTTGGCCTCTTCTCTCTTATCTTTTGAAAACTTGGATAATAATTTATTATTTTATGCATAAAATCATGCTTATATTAAATTAAATTAATGCAACTACAAACATACAAACTGAAATTGCCTTAAATATTTTAATTTTTTCAGACATGGAGCTATAAGCTGTTGAAGTTAAGGAAATGAAAATTAAATACTTTCATTTTTGACCAGTTTTTAAGAATCAGACAAAAATTTGAATTAAGCAACATCTATATCACTGTTAGATATGCAAAAATTGAGTAAGAAGCACAGAAACAAAGGAAGTATTGAATTTTTCTTTGTATACCATAGAGGCATATTAATAATAGTTGACAACTCATATTTATAAAGCATTTTAAGGTTTGGAAAGCAGAAATATATCTTGTGATATATACTACCATTTGTCATTACGCTATTTGTAGGTAGTTTTTAGTTGATTTGAGATAATGCATTTTATAAAAGGGCTTGTTTGAGTATTTGTTAAGAAGTACCATGTCAACAGAAAAAGCAACAACAGTACAGAAGATGATTAGATACTTTCAGGGTTTTATAGATTTAGAACTAGAAGAGGTTTAGTGCAATTTCTTCACTTTACAGAACAGGAAAATGAGGCCAGAAACGCTAAGTGACTTGCTTATGGTCACACAGTTATTTAAAACTGTCAGAAGTAGAATTTAAACCCAGGTCTTCTACTGTACCATTTTGCAATGACTGTGTATAATATATGGGCAGTGGATAGAGCACAAAGGCTGGAGTTAGAAAGACCTGAGTTCAAATCTGGCTTCCGACACTTAGTAGCTGTGTGACCCTGATCAAGTCAATTAATCCTGTTTACCTCAGTTTCCTCATCTGTAAAATGAGCTTGTGTGGGACAAGTGAAAGTTTCTCATATAAAATTTAGTTAAGGCTTTAGCATTAGCTGGGCCTAAGTTTCGTTTTCCTGTAAATCATGTGATTGGGTCATACATCTGTTGCCCATCCCCTCCCTTGTTTTGTAACCACCACCCCAGCCTTAAGTCCTTACCAAATAAGGCAATATTCTAGCTTCCAAGCTTGGTTTGGGTAAAATGTATCTCTTGGGTTCTAAATATAGATTGTAAGGTCTCTTGCTTCAACCAATGAGGATAAAGAGATTGAGGTAAACAAGTGGGGAGGGAGGGTTTCTTGGAGTGGTCTGTCTACGGGTATATAACTGGCTGTTTGCTGCTATATCTTGCCTCCCTACTCCAGTCCGCCCTGGGTAGGTGATGCCCAACTCGAGACTTGCTAGAATAAAACCTCTGTTTTCTATTGAGAGAAACCTCTGAATTTTTATTTGGGTAGGTGGTCTCAATCCCACTCAAGCTGAAGAAGGAAACAGCAAACCACTCCAGTATCTTTGCCAAGAAAATCTCAAATGGGGTCATAAAGAGTTGGACATGACTAAAAAAAAAAGACTGAACAGCATAGATAATATAAAAAAATCTTCCTATTACATGGTTTTGGAAATAGTTTTGAACGAATAGAGATTAAATAGCAACACACAAATATTTATCATAAACATTTCATTTCAGTTATCTAAAAACGTGTACTTTTTTCCCCCTGAAAAGTAGAAAAACTCACCTGTCCCAGAAAGTCCTCAAGGGGTGAGGGATGAAGTTTTTTTTTTTCAAATCCCTTCCTATCTCCAAAGGGAAAGCACATCATACTTCTATCATTTATGAAATGCTTAAAAACAGGGCCCATGTCTCACCTTTATTTATGAAATCCGCAGTGTTTAACATGTGCCCTATAGGCAGTGAGGAAACCAAACCAGCAAATCTTTATTTGGCATTCACTGAGTTAAAAAGCATGTTTTCACTTGTTAATTTGGTGCAGTGAACCAGGGTTTTACGTATATGTCCTAAATACAAGAAATCCTGGTTTTAAGTAATGTATTCTAAACATCTCATTAAATCAAATATTCTTAACTTGAGGTTCATGAATTTTTAAAAATATATTTTGAAAAATCATATTTCAATATAATTGGCTTCCTTTGTAAACCTGCGTGTTTTATTTTATGCATTTAAAAACATTCTAAAAAGGGGTTCACAAGCTTCACCAGACTGCCATGACACAAAAAAGATAAAGAATCCATGTATTAAATGAAATAATTGAGAGGTCCTATGGAGTTCACTGAAACTAGGAACTTAATTTCATTTATATGTAATTTGGCTGACTACTGAAATTTATCTCCTTTTAGTTTCTGTCTTTAGTTGCGAGTTAGTTTAGCTGTAATTAAGTGGCCAGAAAAGGGGGGAAAACCCCCCAAACAAAAAAGCATTTAACCGAAAAAACAAACAACTGTAAGTTTTAAGACAATAATACTTGGAGATTGGAAGGGACCTTAGCGATTGTCTAGAACAATCCTCATATTTTATAGATTAAGGAAATGAAACCTAAAGAGATTAAATCACTTTCCAAAGCCATTAAGTAGCAGTAAGAAGCAACATTCTTAATGTTTCTTTTTACCAAAGAGGGGTCTTACTCTTTATTAAATAAAGCTTCTCCTTCTTCTCTGAACAAATACATCTGTTCAGTTATTTGGGGAAAATATATAAGGAGGGCTATAGTTTAAGAATGCTATGTACAAGATGGAGGTCAGGTTTGAATACTCAAGACCACATCATTTTTCAATTATCATCAGAGACACAATTAGATTATAAGAGCAACTAACGGTATCATGGTCAAAGTGCTGGCACTTTGTAAGGTAGGAAGATCTGGGTTCAGATGCTGCCTTTGATACCTACTCTCTGTATGTCAGGTAAGTCATTTAACCTCTCAGAGCTTCAGTTTCCTCAACTATAAAATTAGGATGTTAGATTAAATGGTCTCCAAGACCCCTTCCGGTTCTAAATCTATTCCCCTATGATTTTTTTAAAAAATTTTCTTATTTTTCAAGAGAGATTTGCATGCAGAATAAGCTGGGAGTGTTTAAAAAATATGGATTCTAAGGTACAGGATAAAGTGTATCACCACAATTAGGGTGATTAATAGATGAATTCTTCCTCTCTTTTCAAGGGTTAAACTTGCATTAAAATTCTGAATAATGCTATATCACTATTCTGTAACAGCAAAGAACAATATATCAAAATACTTACTTCATCTCTATAAAGTGGACTTGTATAATACATTATGTCCATCGCACTGCTGTTTAGCATATCCCTTAATCCTCGTACTTTGTCAGGAGTAATAGAATCAACAGTGTCTGGAAATAAAGATAAAGACCAAGTTAAACATTCAAAAACCTTTGCGTACAGAAATAAAACATGTACGTAGTTAAAACAAAACTACACAATTAAAGAAAACTGTCATAAATCAAACACTATTTAAAAAATCTAACTAATCACGGAGTTACACTGGTTTTTGCCTTGCTATCTGTTAGGTATATAAAGTGGAGAAGGGCAGTTCACTGTTTTGGGTGTCATTAAGTGGCAACTTGGATAAATGTAGGTGGTACTTTACTCCTCACCTTTTTTTCACCTTCTATACTTTTTTTTCTTATTGTTTTTCTTTCCTGTACTTTTTTTTACCTTGGGCTTATTGATATCCATGGATATTGCTTAGGACTATTATCAAAGGTAACCAGGTGTAAACACTAAATCTAATAAATGTTGCTTTGTGTACAGATAATCAGTTCTTTTGCTGTGGACTCTTTTTTCTTCCCCTTACCTTTTCTCCTTTAGGGTTCTAATTTTTTCCCATGAAGTCAATTATCATCTCCTTTCAGGTGACCCCCAGATGTAACTATCCAGTCTTGGTCTCTCCTGAACTCTAGTCTCATATCACCAACTGCTCATTATATATTTCAAATTGGATAGCCTGCAGGCCATTTCTAACCTAACAGTTCCAAAAAGAACTTATTATCTCCTCCCCAAAACCCTCTTACAAATTTCCCTACTTCTCTTAACAGTGGATGTCTTCACCAACATTCTCCTAGTTTCCAAGGTTCATTCTTGACTTTCTCACTTTCATCCCCTTCCCCAAATCCAGTGGCCAAATTGTGCCAATCCTATGTCAACAAAATTTCTTGCATCAATTAGTCAACAAATACTAAGCATTTACACACCTAGCAATCAAAAAACTTATATTTTATCAAGGCAGACTCACAAGGCCCCTCCCTCATTTAAGCCCTTATCACCTCATTTTTGTACTGCAACAATTCCTTTCCTTTTTATGTAAAGTCTTTCTCCTGAAGGCTTGTGGAACTTCTAGTTTCAGAACTGAATTGCTGAATTTAACCACCATGTATCTTGGAGTTTGCAGTCATGGGTTTTTGCCTGGAGGTGATTTGTGAAATCTTTTTGTTGGAATTTTGTTTTCTATGTTCACACATTCTGGGCAGTTCTTTTCTATTACTTCCTTCATTACGATATTAAGAGTTTTTGTCTAGGCATGTTCTTCTGGGAAACCTTATGATCGTTAGGTTGTTTGCATCCTGTCTTTGAAATCTTTGTTTTGCTTGCACAGTGAGAATATTTTACTTTTGTTTTTTGCTTCTCTTCTTCGTTGTCCTTAATTTCTAATTCTTAACGTACTGTTCTTTCGTTTCTTTGGTGAGTCTTGCCATTGAAGATTCAAGTTGTTCTATTCTGCTAATTATTTTTGCTGTGCAGTACACAAATTCTGCTCTAATAATTCTCATTTTTCTTTTAAACTACTCAGGAACAGGTATTGTAGAGATATGTTCTCCTCAAAAGTTATAGGTCCTCAACCTTAATCAAGTGTTGGAAAATTTTACTTTATTTTACAGTATTTATTCTGAGAGGACTGCACTCATTTATTAGATTTGAAGGCCATATTTATTTCTGTTACTACTGGTTTTCCTGTTGATTTACCTATTTATGGCTAAGGTCTTTGCGTTTTCTTCTTCCTGAAATCTTCGGTATTTTGAGTCCTTTTTTTCTCTTATTTTCCACGTCACTTACTTTCTGACTCCCTTCTCATATTTATTTCCTCACTAACTTAGCCATGCTTAATTTATGGTTCACCCAGCCAAGTTTCTGTCCCAACTGACTTTTGGGTGGTCAGAACTGGCCCCACCTTGATGCTGTGTTCTTTCACTTGGGCTTGGTAGAGTGCCATACAGTCCCCACTTACATGGTATCCTGTCCTTGTGACCTGTTGACTCCTTCTGTTACTCAGTTCTTTGGCCCAGAACTGGCAGTTTCATCTTTTCCCCAGCATCACTCCAGAATCCTGGGATGCAGCCCCAGCAAGTTTTTACTCTTGAAGGATTGTGGCCAAGCTGACATTTGAGCAAATTTCCTCTGCTTAAAGCCAAGCCCTCCACAGTACTGGAAAGTAGGAGGAGGGACTGGGTTATAGCACTGGGTTTTGATGTAAGCTTAAATTGTTTCTTTGGGTCTGCTGGTGCAGCTTTGCTGCCAGTAGTGCAAAAGGTGAAGGAAGGGGTGCTGAGTAGCTCAAGGTCAGTGAGCTAACCATCAGATTCTAGGTTTGGGGGATTTAAAAAAAATTCCTTTGGATTCTAGGTGTCCTAGAGCATGGAAACAGATGAAGTTGCTTTATCTTTGGCACATAATTTCTATTTTGGGGAGGTTTGTGAGGGATCCATCACCTTCTTGCTCATTTGACGCAGAAAACTTGGTATTTATCATATCCAAGCTCTGCTACTTACGACTTTAGGATGGTCAGTTAACTACTTTGGGCCCCAGTTTCTTTACCTGTAATATGAGGGGTGACTTCTAAAGTATCTCTTGCACTTTTTAAGTCTTTAAGTATTTCCCCCCTATGTTAAATATGTCTAGTTCCTGCAACCGATTCTTTTTTATTATGATCTTGAGGGCTTTCCCATTTTAGTCACCTTACACTAAGCATACATCAGTTTGTCATATTTGCTAAACATGATAATCCAGACATGGGATAAACATGATGCATTATAGCGGAATTATTCCTTTACTTGTTCTGGACACAGTGTCTCTGTTAATGGATTAAATTTTTTAGGTGCCAAATCATTCTGTTGACTTGAACTTGTAGCTCCCCCCTTAAATACACTGATAAAGATGAACTTCTGATGATGAATCTGACCATATCTTTTTCTCACTTTGTATTTGTTAAGATGATTTACTGAACACATATGTAGGAATTTATGTTATTCAGTTGTGTCAGTAGTGTCCTACTCTTCATGACCCCACTTGGGGATTTCTTGGCAAAGACATGGAGTGGTTTGCCATTTCCTTCTCCAACTCCTCCAACATTTACAGATGAAGAAACTGAGGCAAACAGGGTTATGTGACTTGCGTAGGGTCACACAGCTAGTGTCTGAGGCCAGATTTGAACTCAGGAAGATAAGTCTTCCTGACTCCAGGCCAACCATTCTATGTGCCACCTGGCTGTCCAGAAATTTATATCAAATTTATATCAATATAATTTATATTATATCAATCCCCATTAAATTACTAGATTCAAGAGCATGGTGAACCATGCCATCTAACATACTATTCTTCTTAGCTCTGAATCACCAGCAAATGTGATAAGTAAGCCACTTATGTCTTTATTCCAGGTATATGATAATCAACTGACAAGCATTTAGTAAGCACCTACTATATGCTAGGCCACTATAAGAAAAATGTTACATGTCAACAGGAGCAAACACATATTTCTAGAGATATTATGCAATGTTGATATTGACCCTTTAATAACTATACTTTGGATTTAGCCATTGAACTGGTTCCAAACCCACCTAATTCTAACTATGACTTGGCCCTACATCTCTCCATCTCATCCATCTCTGTCCACAAAGTTATTAAAGACTTTTTCAAATGCCTAAAGTCTACCTAGGTAAACTATATATAGCATTCTCCTGATTTCCTGATCCTGATCAAAGTTACTAGCTTACTGACTCTGTCAGAATAGGAAATAAGGTTAGCTTGGCATGACCTGTTCCTCATTAAACAATACTTGTCTTCTGTCATTACTACTTCCTTTTTCTAGATGTTGATTACCAATCCCTTTAATAATGTTCTTTAATTCTGCCAGGAATCCAAGGCAAGCTCATTACAGTTTGCAGACACAATTTTCTTCTCCCCATTTTTGAAAAGTGAAACACCACCTCCCCTTTTCTAGGCCTGCAGCAATTCTCTTGTCATTGGTCTTTCAAAGATCACTAAGACTTTTTGTGGTATTTGCCAGTATCTTGGGCTGTAGTGAATCTGGGCTTAAAGACTTGAAGTGCTTTCTTCATAACTTCATTAATTATCTTGGGTTTCAACTCCCCATCAAGAATTTTCATTCTGTCCTTTCTACTCCAAAGATCATTATCCTTGGCAGAGATAATAGAAACAATATTATCTTTCTATCCAGTTTAATTCAGTGATCCTATCCCTTTCATATCATTAATTTAAAGAAAAAAACAACTCTTGCTTCAATAATTTCTTAAAGGAATTCTAGGTGACCTGGTGGTCAAACTGTGATTTTCTTTGAGGATTTGCTTAGAGATGTTTTAGTATTGTTCTTTTCTTCTGGGTCTGTGTCTTGGATGTTCCTAGCACCAGCACCTTATGGAGGAGTATTTTTGTTTGTTTACTCATTCTTCTAGCTTTATTTCCCAAAATGGGATTTTGTGTTAGGGCTCTAATCAACTCTGTGGGAATGTCAAAATCTTCTTTGGCTCTGATTTGTATCCCCTGGTCCAGATATTTAATGCTATGTAGTGTGTGTGTGTGTGTGTGCGTGCGCGAGCGCGCGTGTGCATGCACGCCAATTTCCAAGGTGCAAATTTTTTCAGATTCAATGTTTATTTAACATTCTTTTCTTTTTAAATTAACATTCTTTTCTTTTTAAATTGAGTTCCAAATTGTTTCTCTCCCTTCCAATACTCTTCCACCCACTGAGTAGAAAAGCAATATATCAATTACACATGTGAAATCATGCCAGATATTTTCACATTCACTGTTTTTTGGTTTTTTTTTTAAGCAAGAAAAATAATGTGAGAAAAATATACCCCAATTTGCACTCGAGTTCATCAGTTCTCTCTCTGGAGGTGGATATAATTTTTTCATCATGAATCCTTTGGAATTATCTTAGATCACTGTATTGATCAGAGCAGACAAGTCTTTCACAGTTGATCATCATTACAACATTGTTGTTACTGGGCACAACGATCTAGGTCTTGCCATGTTTTTCTGAAACCAGCCCTGTCATCATTTCCCATAGCACAATCATACTGCATCACAATCATTGCAC